ATACCGCCCGCCTTGAAACGCAGTTTCAAAAAAAAAAGGGGATCAGTGCGGAACAAGCGGGAGGTGAGTCGGCTGGACGTACGAGCCTTCGGCATCCTGAGTAGACGAGGTCAGGATGAGGCTGTCCACCCGAGACGGCGAAACTATATTAAGAATAACTATAACTAAAAGAATACGCAACGCTTCTTAAATGCTAACGGCGCTTAAATGCTAACGGAACTTAAACACGGAGTCGGAGCGATCCACTGGTCGAGGTCTCACCCGACGCAGTCCTTAGAAGCATCGACCGGTAGGATGCAAATTTTTCCTATCGGACGAACGTACTCCGAAGCGGCAGTCCGAACGGTGACCACTCGGGTGAGACCGTCAGGCCCAGGGTGTAGTCGGATTATACGTCCGAGCTCCCATTTGCACGGAGGCAGAAGCGGATTTCGCAAGAGCACGAGTTTTCCCGTGACAACGGCCGGCATCGGCTTGCGCCATTTGCTTCTTTGTTGGAGGGTGTTAACGTAGTCGTCAGACCACAATTTCCAGAAGCGTTCCGATATTTGGCGTACCATTTGCCAGCGCGAGAGGCGATTCTCCTGGAGATCCAGGATGGATGGCTCAGGGGCGACGGCGATGGACTGGCCGATCAGAAAATGACCAGGCGTAAGAAACTGGTAGTCGTCGAACGAATCAGACAGAGGCGCAATCGGACGGGAATTGAGACACGCCTCGATCTGACAGAGGAGAGTTGTCATTTCCTCAAAGGAGAGCGTGTGGGCGCCCAAAACGCGGTGCAAGTGATGCTTGACGCTTTTGACGCCGGCCTCCCATAGACCACCGAAGTGAGGCGCGGAAGGTGGAATGAAGTGCCACGCGATGTTATCATTGGCCGTGTGGTTTAAAAACGCGGGATCCTGGAGAGCGGATCGGTAGGCGGACGCGAGCTCTCGATCAGCACCTACAAACGTGGTCCCGTTGTCCGAAAACATGGACTGCGGGAGTCCTCGGCGCGAGCAGAAGCGATTAAACGCGCTGAGAAAGGCGGCGGTGGAATAATCCCCGACCAGTTCGAGGTGGATGGCTCGAGAAGATAGGCATATAAACAGAGCCACGTACGCCTTTAGCGATTTGATTCCGCGTCCCGCGGACGCTCGCACATTGAGGGGTCCAGCGTAATCCACGCCACAGTGCGCGAAGCTTCTGGAGGGTGTCGACACTCGAACGGATGGGAGGTTTCCCATTAATTGAGCAGGGATCGCGGCCCGCTCTCGCACACAAGGAAGACATGCATGGATTACCGATTTTACCAGGCTCCGCGCACGAAGAATCCAAAATTCTTTGCGCAACGCGCTGAGCACAAGCTGGGTACCGCCATGTAGCGTTTTCTCATGAGAGTGAGAAATGATTAGACGCACGACGGGGTGAGGAGCGAGTAACACCGGATGGCGTACGTCGTACGGGAGAGGAGCGTTGCGAAGACGCCCTCCTACCCTGAGGACTCCATTGTCATCAAGGAACGGGCTCAACGACGCTGTCGAGCTTTTGGGAGCAACGCTGCGACCGGAGCGCAGAGCCTGAATTTCAGCGGAAAATAGTTCGGCTTGAACGTATTGAATCCAAAAACGCTTGGCTCGAGCGCACCCTGCGGACGACAGAGCGACGTTCGGAAGCGGAGGCGAGCCAAAACTTTGCTTCCTACCCTTGCATGAAAATAAAAACTTGTACAAATAAGCGGTGACGCGTACCAATTTTGGCCATGACGAGAATCGCGATGCAAGATCCCAGCGAGCGGGAGCCGTGAAGGCGTGCAGCGCGAGCACCTTCTTCTCGTCCGGCACAGCGTTTGAAATGGGGGCAGGCTCAGCTGGCCACTCGATGGCAGATGATACAAGCCATGGGGGACCGTTCCACCACAGACTGTGTGCGATTAGCTCATCGCCGAGAAGGCCCCGTGAAGCGCAGTCGGCGGGGTTATGAGTGGTAGGCACATGACGCCACGCGACGTCCGGAAGACTGGATTGTATTTTTGCAACACGGTTCGCCACGAAGGTGGTCCATCGCGAGGGATGAGACCGAAGCCACGTTAAGACGATGGTAGAATCCGTCCAACATGTACAGGGAACGGAGTGAAGGTCGAGCGAGTCTCGAACGAATAAAATCAAACGAGAGAGAATGAGTGCAGCCGATAACTCGAGGCGAGGGACCGTGAGCGGAGAAATCGGAGCGACTCTAGACTTTCCCGCTAACAGAGAGATTTGAACATCGCCAGCCGAAGAGATCGTTCTGATGTAAACGACCGCCGCATAGGCGTGAGTCGAGGCGTCGGCGAAGCCGTGCAGTTCGAGGCGGGATTCCGATCGAGCTCCTGTCCACCGGCAGAGCGATACGCGGTTGAGATGCGGGAGCTTTGAGTAAAGAAGTCGCCACCGCGTCAAAAGATCTTCCGGGACCGGATCGTCCCAATCAATTCGCAAGCGCCACAGTTGTTGCATAATTATCTTCGCGGAAACCGTAGCCGGAGTGACCCACCCGAGGGGATCGTACAGCCTCGCGATCACGGAAAGAATTTCACGTTTGCTTTGCGGAACCGCATTATCGCTGGTGACTTTAAATTGAAAGATATCTCGCGCCGGATTCCAGACGATACCGAGAACTTTGACCTTTTCGTCGATCGCGATAGATTTGCTGCACGCCAATCCGTGATCCAACGGATCGATGTCCTCGAGCAAGGCAGTCGAGTTGCTGGCCCATTTTCGCAACTCGAATTTTCCGCGGCGAAGTAAAGAAACCAGCTGATCGCGACGCTGACGTAATGACGTGATATTGTCATCCCCGAAGAGCACGTCATCGACGTAAATCTGTTTGCGGATTATTGAGGCGGCGAGGGGGAACCGATCGCCCTCGTCGTCGGCCAAGCACCTCAAAACGCGCAATGCAAGGTACGGCGCGCAAGTCATGCCGTACGTCACAGTCAGCAGGTGATAGTCGCGAGGCCTTTCGCTGGATTCCGGTTGCCATCGAATCCGCTGGTAATCGAGATCACGCTCATCGATTAAAATTTGCCGGAACATTTTGGCGATATCGGCAGTGTAGACGTAACGGAATTGGCGCCACTGGAGGAGGATTGACGGTAATTCCGTTTGCAACTTCGGGCCAGCCAGCAAGTGGTCGTTTAACGTGGAGCCATTAGACGTAGGATACGACGCATTGAAAACGACACGCAAGCGCGTCGTGGCACTTTCAGCTCGAAGAACTGGGTGATGCGGGATATATACCGCTTGAAATGACGAATTTTGAGAATCCGAGGCCAGCCGCATATGCCCGAGGCTCTCGTATTCTTGCATGAAATTACGATACTCGGTGGCTAATTCCGGCTGAGACGCGAAACGGCGGAAGAGCGATTGCAACAACCGATCAGCAGACAGCTGGGAATGTCCAATGTCGATAGGAGGTGGCGTCTTGAACGGCAAGCGAACGATGTATCGCCCGCCGTCGTCGCGAGAATGAGTGGCGTTAAAGTGTCGCTCGCACTGCTCGTCTTGAGGCGAGAGGATTGGAGATGAGGGAAGCTCCTCTATTTCCCAAAATTTCTGAAGGTCCTCAGAAAGGGAAAATTCCGATGCGCAATGATGCACGGATAAATGAAGAGATGAGCGGTCCGTCTCAGCAGGGAGAGGACCGGAAATGATCCACCCAAAAATAGAATTCTGAGCAATGGGATATCCGGGCTTTCCTTTGAGAACACCGCCTAAAATAATATCGCTGTATAGGTCGGCGCCGATGAGAACCTGAATGGGATCGGAACTCGTCGGATTCGAGTCCGCCCATTCTAACTGAGAGAGGTGAGAGAGCGCTGATCGTTCCGTCACTCGCCTGGGAGCGTAGGACGTCAGCGACGGGAGGATTAGAGCCGTCGTTGAGAACGACGGAGTTTGGGGGCCGACGGGGAAGAACTTCACCCGAGCGGCATGTCGAACCGCGCCGATCTGATTACCCCCTACCGCGGAAATCGAAACAGGCATTCGAATTCGTCGAGCTCGCAACGTTTGCGCCAGACCTTCCGATATGAAGGTGGCCTCGGAACCCTGGTCGATCAGGGCTCGAGCGATAACGCAACGGCCGGATGGCCCTTCCACTTTGACGCGTGCAGTGGCGAGGAGGACCTGAGCGCGCGGAGCCGGAGGAGCGGAGGCGCGCAAGGAGTTGACCTCTACGATGGCTGGCGGCGCAGTAGTCGAGGTCTCCTTTGCTTGGGAAACCGAAGCGTTGGGCTCAGAATCCGAATCGGTATGTAACATCGAGTGATGTCGCTTACCACAGGTTCGGCACGAGTATTTGCTCCCACATTCTTGTAGAGAATGAGAGGCACTCAAACAGTTGAAGCAACGCTTCAATTTCTTGGTGGTTTCGCGTCTTTGATTCGGATTTTGAGCCATGAATTTAGAACATGCACTTAAGTAATGTCGAGACTTGCACAAGGGACAAGCCGACAGCGCAGTCGCGGACACAGTCGCGACGTTAACGCGAGACGATCCCGGTTTTTGAATTTTGGAAGATGAGCTTGGGGAGCACTCTTCCAACGCGCGGATGCGATGCGACAAAAACTTGTTTAGCTCCGCGAAGGTTGGCGGAATGTCGTCGTCACTTGTTTTGATATTCCACGCCTTTCGAGAAGCGGGATCTAGCTTTTGAGTCAGCAAATGTACTAGAAAGTCGTTCCATAAATCGCTCGGAGAGCGATCTAGATTTTTCAGAGAGGCTTCTGCGATATTAATTTTATCGCACAGCGCTTGTAATTCAGACGCGGACTCTTTCGTGAGGGCCGACAAACTGAACAACGACAAAAAATGAGAGGTCAGAAGCCGTCGCTTATTTTCGAATCTCGATTTCAAAGTGCTCCACGCAACCTTAAAATTATCCGCGGTTATCGCGAGATTCCCTATACAATCAAGAGCTCGACCCTTTAGACTGGACGTCAAATAATGCATGCGCGCGAATTCGCTTAACGCGTTGTTGTTAATCACGAGCGCTGAAAATCTGTCGCGAAAATTCTCCCATTGAGCGTACTCCCCTTCGAACGGCGGTAAACGAATCGGCGGCATATTAGTAATCGCAAGATTCGACGCGTCAGAATTGACTGGAGTAGAATTTAAGATTTGGCTCGTGCTCACGACTGGCTCCAACTCCTCGAGACACTCAGACATGTACTCCCAGGTCGTCTGGTAGGTGTCCTCAGTGGCTTCGAAACGTTCCTCCTTGAAGTAGTCCATCTCCTGTCTCGCAGCTTCGGGCACCGCTTTCAGGAGGGCCACATGCCCGTCTTGGAATTGGGACCAGTTCGTTCTGAGCGAGGCGATCCTGGTACGGATCTTCGCGGGCGTGAGGTTCGCCTTCCCCACCTTCTTGTAATTTTCCAACGATCTTTCGATCGAGCGCTGCAGAACGGTCTGCTTCGTGAGAAGATCGGTCATGGTGTAGCGATCTCCCTTACGATCTCGTCCGAACTAACCGACACTGCAGATCGCCGGTACGCACTCTCACAATCCGGCTCGAAGGACCAGCTTTT